GATCAGGTTTTATTTATTGATCAATCAGAACAACTTGACATACAGACCATCCCCCAGCACAGCCAAGTGCAGACCATCTCAGACACCTGCACTCAGGCCCATTGTCCTAATCATCCTCTATTCGGACCTGCTGGGTAACGCCACAAAGAACCCAAGAAGGGCTCCCACAGGACATACAGAACACCCCACAGCAAGTTTCAGCAAAGATCTGTTTAGCTCCTCCTTGCTCTGCTGTTTCAGCTTTCCCTTTTTATTCCCTGGGGGACATCTCGGCAAGGATCTTCGATATGCCAGTGAATGAAGATCTTCACACCCAAGAAACTCTTGAGAAAGAGATTTATTTGGGAAGGAGAAGTCTAGGAGAGTAGCTGCCTCTGCCAGGCTGGAGAGAATAGCCTTTTTTTCTAACTCACTAGGCAGGGCGGTTTTCATAGGAAGTCTTAGGGGTGGAGTCAACATCCCCCTTCCCCTGCCTGGCCAGGGGTCTGCAATCCTGCTCTGTGATTGGTTGGTTTCACAAGTCAGTTGGCCAGGGGCAGAGGTGGCTCTGATCTGACTGAGCCATCTTTCTCTAGTTCTGGGCTCCAGGGTCAGGGTGGGTTTCTTTAGCCAGCCCCCTTTCCCCACACTCACATTCTCTTCTCAACTTATATCCAGCAAACTTGTTGAACAGTTTCCTTCAACGAACTGCACAGCATTTCTCTGGAGAGGACTCTTCCCTTCAAAAACTTTTGCTCTGGGCTTTTGTCACCTACTACTATTCCTTCCCAGTTTCTTTCTGTCCACAGAGAGCTTTTGAGTCTCATTTTTGCTGGTTCCCCCTTTTAGACTTCTAAATCTAAGTCCTTAAAAAGAGATTAAGAGGCTAATATCTGTTTTGTTATTGTTTTGAGACAGCATCTTACTGTGTAGCCCAGGCTAGCCTTGAACTCACTGATTCTTCTGCCTCAGCTTCCAAGTGCTGAGATTACAGGCATAAGCCCCTTTACTTGGCAAGGGCTCAGTCTTTTCATTTTCCTTATCTTCAGTTTCTCTAAGTGATGCAGTCTAAAACTATAGCTTGGTTGCTGTCTCTGTGTGTGTGTTACTCAAACTTATAATCAATTCAGGATGCTCCATTTCATACTCAGAGCTATTTTCTCATGCACCCTAAATGTTTTATATCCAAAGTTTTCATCATTTCCTCAGTGTTACTGTCCCCAGGCTTAGGGACCATCTTTGATTTCCCCTTAATTCTTTTAAATTTTATTTTTTGAGACAGAGTCTCTGTATATAGTCTTGGCAGATCTGGAGCTCACAGAGATTCCTGCCTGTGCCTCCCAAGTGCTGGGATTGAAGTTGGTCACCATCACGCCTGGCACATAGACTTTAAAATTGTTACTTCAGTGTTAGAGAGATTCCTTAGAAAAATAAAATGCACTGAGAATTCACAATGTCAGGCAACATATGATGAATTTGACATTGAAGAACAAAGATGAGGGAGATAAGGAGCTACAACAGCACACTTTGCTGGATGATGCTGTAATATCTAATACCTAGTATGCAAATTTAAAACAAAATAACAACTGCAAACGATAACCTTCGTCTCTGTCATTGCCTCCTTTCAGCCCGTTCTTCTGGACAGCAGCAGCATTCTTGCAGATCGCATTCTTCTCATGGACACTTTTTTCCAGATTTTGATTTATCATGGTGAGGTAAGACAATAGCATTAAAGCTTTGTATGTAAAATCTATTTACTCGGAGTAAAAAGTTTTCCCTGTCTAATGTGTGGCTCATATTTAGTCCATGCTAAACCTTGATTTATAATAAGATACAGGTTGACTAATTCAAAAATTAAAAATTCAATATACTCCAAAATCCAAACATTTTGAGTAACAAAATGTTACAGATGGAAAATCCTGTTTTTTCATGTTGATAGTTATTATTTAAATTTTTTGAATAAAACTAGTTTTGTTTGTTTATTTTATTTTAAATAAATAATTGTTTGTTTATTTGTGCAGAGGTCAAAGGATAACTTGTGGGAATCAGTTCTTTCCCTCCCTTATGAGTCCCTGGCCTCAAACTAAATCGTCAGGCTTGGAGGGATTTGCCTTTATCCACTGAGCCATCTTGCTGGCCCTAATGCTCAAAATTATTTAAAATGTCTTCAGGCATAAGAAGTATTTATACCTAAGTGAATTTTGTATTTAGGTTTGGTACCTATCCCCCAAAGTATCTTAATATGAATTTACACATGCCTATCCCATATACATATAAATACATGAAAGTACCTGAAATCCATAGTGCTTCTGCTCTCACGGATTTATATACAAAATACCCAACCAGTACATATACAATTTGATTCTTCATGGTGTAGGATTTTGGGTGTCAATCATACTGAGCCTGCTTGTGTTTACTTTCTTGTTTTGTTCACACACTAGTGGACAAATGGATTTACACAAAGCACAGTACTATGAAAGTATAACCATGGACCTGTCACACTCTTGGGTTTCACCTAAAGAAATGGAGGGAAAAAGTCAGCTTTTGTCAGTGGGCAAACTTGCTTTTTCATTGCTATATGTAATCTAAAGGCTTTTCTACATGTTCAATATAACCTGAAAATTTATTTAAGGCGTAAATGGAAATTTACAACTTTGAAGTGCTGAGTGGTTGAAAGACCAGAGTGGATAGTTGTTCAGCTTTACTTTGGGTATTTAGCAGAAGTCTATTCCTGCATTTATTCATCCAGCCAATGCTTCAGTCTATCCCCCATGTATGAAAATACTGCCACGGGCAGTTTGCAAGGTACATCCATTTTTCCTGGATCCATGCTTGAGCTTGTAGTGTAGTGTTTTATAACTTATGGATTTATTTTTGTGGTTACCATATTTGCAAATTATTTTAGATTTTATTTATTGACAAGGATGGCTGAGTGTTGAGAAACTGTGTGATATGATAGTCCAGCCTTCCCTTGGACTCATAATTCTCCTGTTTCAACCTCCTATGCTGGGATTACTGGTGTTAGCTGCCACACCTGGCCTTCTAATATCCTTTTAAATAGTACTATCCAGTATTTTAAGAAGGATTTATGCACTGGGCTTGGTGACATGTCTTTGGTCCAGCACTTGGAAGTCAGCTCTGTGAGTTTGAGGCCAATCTGGTTTACATAGCAAGTTCTAGGTCAAGAGGCTACATGGAGACCCTGTCTCAAAAATTTTTAATTATATTTTTGTTTTGTATTTTTTAAGATTTGTTATTAAATGTGTGTGTTTACTCATGGGCACCCATGTACCCATGAGTGCAGGTGCTAATGGAGTTAGAAGAGCTGGAGTTACAGGCAACTATGAACTTCCTGATGTGGGTGCTAGGATCTGAATTTGGACCCTCTGCAAAATGCTCTTGAGCACTGAACCACTTCTCCAACCACTATTTTTTCTTTGTGTGTGTTTTGTTTAATTGATGCCAGCTTCTAATGTACCTTATATTTTAAGAAGAATAACAGAGACAGTGTTTTTCTTTTTCTTTAATGGTAAGTTTTGCTTTAAATTTGTTAATATGAGAAGTCCAAAGTACATTAGTCTTTGAGTTGCAGAATATAAAGTTATACAGATTATACATTGACTGAGTCAGATAACTTGGATTCCAAACCAGCCTTAAAATTCTGAATTAATTAATATGGCTCTAGACTCTTTTATTTAATATAAAAGTAGATACAGTTGCCCTTCTTCAATGCATTGTTTCTATAATATTGTTGCTATCATTGTTTTTAGTTTATTTCTCTTATCAGAATGTAACTCTAGCAGCATGGTGGTGCACACCTTTCATCCCAGCACTCAGGAGGCAGAGGCAGGCAGATCTCTGTGACTTTGAGGTCAGCCTGGACTACATAGCCAGTTCCAGGACTGTACAGTGAGATTCTGTCAACAACAACAACAATATCAAAAGAAAAGAATGTAACTCCATTGGTGAAGACTTCTTGAAAGTCGACTTTTGAAGTGTGTAGGAATTCTTGATAGAAACCCCTCCTAGAAAAGGAAGGATATATTTTAGTAAATACTAATTTGATATGATAGTGTTTTAACTTTTTTTCTGGCATTTCTATTTCTTTTGTTTTAGGTTTTAAACACAGTGTAATTTTACTTTACGTTTCTTTTTGTTCCTTTTGTTTTCAGTTTTTGAAACATCGTCATCTTTTATAGCCCTGGTTGGTCTGGGACTTGGTAGATTGGCCAGGCTGGCTTCAAGCTTGTGTTGATCCTGCTGCCTCTACCTCTTCAGTGCTGGGGTTACAGGTGTGCACCATCATGCCTGCTCTGCCTTTAAACTTGTTTTTCTATTAGACTCCTTCCTCCTTCCTTCCTTCCTTCCTTCCTTCCTTCCTTCCTTCCTTCCTTCCTTCCTTCCTTCCTTCCTTCTCTCCCTCCCTCCCCCCTCTTCCTCCCTCTCTTCCTCCCTCCTTCCCTCCCTCTCCCTCCTTTCCTTCCTTAAGTCCTTCCTTTCTTAAGTCCATCCTTCCTTCCTGAGGCTTAACTCTTTTGTAGTCTGTGTTGGTTTTGAACTCTGAGCTTAAGTAACCCCGCCTCAGCTTTCTGAGAAGCTGAGAATACAAGGTGTGTTTCTTGCACCTTCTTTTGTTTTACTCTTAAATTGGAGAGGAAATATGCTAATTTTATATTTAGTAATATATTCCTTTACTTACATTTTCTCTGTTGAAATAAGTACTTGTAACTTTAGAAGTTTAGGTAAGTGAGAGTATTTTCTCTTATCTGGTTTTCTGATAACTTCATTTGAAGAAAAATCTACTCAAGAAATTTAGATCACCAAAAAATTTAAAATCATTGCTTTAATTGTTGTCAAATTAGACTATAGCACAGTGGCGGAAGTCAGGATACCAGGACATGCCAGAATATGAGAACTTCCGGCACCTTCTGCAAGCCCCAGTAGATGATGCCCAGGAGATTCTTCACTCCAGATTTCCAATGCCGAGATACATTGACACCGAGCATGGTGGAAGCCAGGTGAGGAGCGTCCCTGTGTTGTGTGTGCAGACTGCAGTGAGGGGCTCCTGCTTGTGATGTTTGTATGAGAGCATCTTCCACATGGGCCAAGGGCAAGGGAAGGAGCCGGGAGGGGAGGGCGGTTTCTGGCAATGCTTTGAGAACAAAGCGTTACAGTTATTGCCTAGTTTCCTGAAACAGCTGGCATTCTCTAGCTCTGCTCCCATCATAGCTCTTACAGCAGCCGTGATTGGCCACCCTGACCATGTGCCAGCTGTAGGTTAGCAAAAAATGTGAGAACAGTTTGGAAAATCATTTAGGGTACCTTTTTCCATTAATTTTTTCATCTATTTTACATACCAACCACAGTTTTCTCTCCCTCTTCTCCTACTCCTTAAATCTGTTTACTGGTAAGGCCTATGAATATGAAGTTTTGGTAATTTGTTTCGGTTTGGTGTTAAAAAGGGCTTTATGAGGCAGCTCAGTGGTGGTGCACGCCTTTAATCCCAGCACTGAGGGAGGCAGAGGACATCTAGGGCTGTTACACACACACACACACACACACACACACACAAAAAAAAAAAAAAAAAAAACCCCCCCCCCCCCCCCCCCCCAAAAAAAAAAAAAGGCTTCACGGTTGTTAGAGTTCAGATCTGTGCATATACTCATACATGGTCAGGTTAGGGCTGCTTAGCATGCATTCATGAAACTTGGCCAGTGTTGTTCTGGCCAGAGGTATAACAGCACTCTAATTGTAAGTTGTTACACAGTTTTCTTGCTCCATACATAAGGCAGGGACATAGTTTGCTTATTGTTGTGTCCCACGTATCTAGTACAGTGATATTCCACAAGTTTAGATACAGTGTTAATGATTAGTTTTACTGTATTTACAATGTGACCTATCATGTATCGAGACTGCTTTTTGCATGCCTCCTTCATTTGAGCCTCAGGCCAATTCTACTGTTCTCTCTACTTTATGTGTAATAGAATTAAGACGTATTATTTGTAGTCAAAGAAGCACATTAAATGATGGAGCTAAGTTTTTTTTCCTTTTTAAGAAACGGTATCGTACTGTGTAGCTCAGGTTCACCTTGAACATTCCTTTTGCCTCAGCCTCCTGATACTGAGATTCCATTTGTAAGCCAGCCAACACTAGTACTTAGTAATTGAATTCTAGGTTTCTTACCCTAGGACTAGTGCTACTTAAGAGCAGAAAAAGATGTTGTATGATTCTAAATTTCAAAAGATCAGATTGTTTTTGTTCTTCTAAAATGAATTAAAAATTTTGATAAATTCGCTTATCAATATCCTAATGTGTATTGTTATTTTCCTTATTTATTTACTTGCTGATTAATTTCATGATGATTAGCTGCAGTAGAGGATGGAGAAAATTTTGCCAAAGTTACCACCTGTAGCATAAAAAGTTTGAGGTTCATTAAAGTAAAGAATATAGATTTTCATATTTTTTTGTTTGCATCATTTTATGAGGTCTCAGATTTCTGCTGCTTCAGACTAGTTGGTAAAAACTGTGTTTTCAGACTTATTTTAAAATAATTTTTATGTTTACATTTGAAACATTTAAAAAACTTATTTAATGTGTTTGGGTGTTTTGCCAATATTTACGTTTGTGCACCACATTCATGCAGTGACAAAGTTAGGAGAGGGAATGGGTTCCCCCTAGGATTGTAGATACAGGTGGTTTTGAGTCACGTGGGTGCTGGGAATCCAACCCCAGTCCCCTGGAAAAGCAACCAGTGCTCTTAAATGCTGAACCATCTCTCTACTTCTATACATATAATTTTATATGCTGAGTGTGGGACTCAGTGGTGTATTATTTTATGACTGTTACAAATACATAATGTTGAAAGAGTATATTAATTATACTGTGGCCTGTGCATTTTAAAATGTAATCTTTTTAAGTGTTAAATTTTAACAAAGTTAATTTTACCAGTATATTCAGTTAAGTTGGTGTTAGATGGTATGTTTATGTAGCTTATCTTACTAAGTCTGTTTCTGTTTGGTACTGTTATTTATTTATTTATTTATTTATTTTTGCTTTTTAGGCACGTTTACTACTTTCAAAGGTGAACCCTTCACAGACTCATAATAACATGTATGCCTGGGGGCAGGTTAGTGTGAATAAGAGTCCTGGAAATAATTTCTTTTTATGTTCTTAGTTATTTTAGTAAAAGCCACATTTTCCCTGTGTATTTAATGATGATTTCTGTGGAAAAATATAAGGAAAGAGTAGAAAATATAATTAGTATTTGGTGATAGTATTTTATTAGAAAATAAAAAAAACAATCTTGTTACATAGAACCTCTCCAGATTCCAAGTTTAGCACCAATACACTGGAAATAAAAAGCAATAAAGTCTAAAAGACAGGCATATGATAACTCAAGTATAATGTGAAGCTATGAGCTACAGAAGACCACAGTAAACCAGGAGGGCCCAAGGATTGTGGTTAAGAAGGAGACAAGAAGCTGGAAATGATTATCTCCATGTCTTAGATTGGTTCAAGTGCTTCCTCTTGATGGCACATGCCAACACTTTGGAATATGCAGTCTGCATGGCCTCTGTGCTGGCACTCCAGGGTGTGTGATGACAGCCTCCCCAGCCTGTGGGGAGCTTGTGGTCCAGTACTAGAGATAAGCCACATCAGTGCAGGACAGGACAGAATATGCAAAGTGTGACTACAGGGAACTAGAAAGGATGGAGGGGTGGAAGAAGAATCGGCCCCATGGTGGTGACAGGAGAGGGTGTGTGAGGAGGAAAGAGCTCAGTAATAGGACTGTTTGCTTTAAGGAAGGCTTTTCTCTCCATGGGTGGAAATCTATGTAGAGTAGGGAATTCAGAAAGTAGGGGCTAAGTGATAGAGTGTAGGTAGAGATGAGGTGTAGAACTTAAAACTGTGGAGTGAATTGTGGAGGACCTTGAATGCCCCTAGGGAAAAATGTGAAACTCTTTTCTGCCTCC